AGACTTGGATCTTTTTAATTTGCCGGCAGACTTCTTCAGCTTGATATTGAGAGCTTGGCCTCGGCGCTCGCCACTATGATTTCCAACGTGACGCCTTCTTGTTCGCGCGCCTGCTGTGCTGCGTAGCATGCGAAGCGCGCGTGCTGTGCAGACCGGGATAAAACGTCAATGTTAAGTTGGACATCCAGTTGGCGCGCGAAAAGGGCTTGATTTCTTCACCCCGATAAGAGAACATTCCAGCCTGCCGCTGGCGCGCTTTGCGGGCTGCGCAATGTAGCAGGCGCGCGAACAAACAGGGTGTTCAGTTGGGGATCCAAGTGGTGCGCGCGAAGGGTTCGATCGGATTTTAAAAAAACCAATATGGCGACATGCCAGCCCGCCGCTGGCGCGCGCGCTCTGCGCAGACTGCGCGCTGCAGCAGGCGTGCGAAAAACTGCGTGCTAGGCTGGGAATCCAAGCAGCGCGCGCCACATGTTTCGTGGGGCTTTCAAAGCCAGTATGGCGACTTCTTCATCCTGATAGGAGAGCATGCTAGCCCCGCCGTTGGCGCGCGCGCTTGCGCGCGATCTGCAGATTGCGCAAAACAACAGCAGGCGCGCGCCGGCGCGAACGCGCGCGCGCGCCAGCAGAGGGCCAGCATGTCCTCTTACCGGGATGAAGAAGTCGTCATGCTGGCTTCGAGCGTCGAAATAAATGTTCAGCGTGCACAAATTATGATTTCCAACTTGACATGCAGTTTTGTCTCACACGCCTGCTCCAGTGCGCAGTCGACAAAGAACGCGCCAGCGGCGGGTTGGCATGTTTTCTTACCAGGACGAAGCAGTCGCCGTGCTGGCTTGGAGAATCCAAGTGGTTCCTTGGTGCCTACCAGTTGGGTTTCCAACTTGCCATGCAGTTTTCTCGACGCCTCCTGTCGCGTTCAATGTGCAAAGCGCGCGCGCCAGCGGCGGGCAGGCATGTTCTCTGATCAGGACGCAGACGTCGTAGTGTCGCCATGTTGGGTTTTGAAAGTCCAAATGAACCTTTGGCGCGTACCATGTACTTTTTCAGCTTAACATGCAGTGTTTCGCACGCGCACTGCTTTTGCACACTCTACAATCTCGCTGCTGGTGCGCGCTCGCCAATGGCGTGCTGGCATGTTTTCCTATCTGGATGGAGAAGTCGTCATGTTGGTTTTGAAGATCTAAGTGGCGCGCACTATTTGGATTTCCATCTTAGACCTGTAGCCTGTGGTCGCCTGTAGGGCACCCCCCCGGGTTGGACCGGGGGGGGGGTCCTCCCTAAAATGGCTTCGGGCCCCGAACCCCGGGGATGGGGGCCCCCCGAGAACAGCACCCCCCCCTTGGGGGAATGGGGTCCCCCGGGAAACGAGGGATACCCACCCCTGGGGTGGGGGGGCCAAGAAGGGGAGGGGGGGCGCCCCCCTTTCTTGGCTTCTTGGCGGGGGCGGCGGCTGCGGCGGCGGCCAAGACGGCGACGACGATGGCGATAAGGGGCCGGCACGCGAAACCGAGGACCACGACGACGACGTCGACGACCACGACGACGACGACGACGACGACGACGACGTTGACGACGACGAAGAGCACGACCCACCCAATGTGGACGCCCCATCATTGATTGAATATTTCCTTTAATGTCTCGCCTGTCCGAACGAAATTTTCGGCGGCTGTCATTGATTGTCCCTTAACTTTCTCGTTCCACACAGTGAAACTTGCATGTGATGGTCCGCCCGCCCAATGTGGATGCACATCACTGTCTAGAGGTTTCATTTAATGTCCCGCCTGCCCCTCCTAATTCTCTGGCGGTTGAGATATATTTCCCCATGACCTCACTCAACACAGACTGAAGATTGCACTTGATGTCCCGCCCGCCCGATCTGGGCGCCCCATCACTGAGTGAATGGTTCCTTTTATGTCCCGCCTGCCCGAACGGCGTGTTTGGCGGTTGTGATGGATTCCATGTGACTTTCTCATGTCGCACAGCGAAAGTTGCATATAAGGTCCCGCCCTTCCAACATGGACGCCCCATCATTGACTACAGGTTTCATTTTATGTTCCGCCCGCCCGACCAGCATCTCTGGCAGCTGTAGTTCTCATGACTTTCTCCCAACATTGAGGGACAATTGCATTTAGTGTCCCGCCAGCCCGTTCTGGACGCCTCATCATTGAGCGAATGGTTCCTTGAATGTCCCGCCTGCTCGAACTGCGTCTTCGGTGGTTGTGATCGATGTCTCCTCAATTTTCTAGTTTACTGAAGATTGCATATGTTGTCCCGCCCGCCTAATGTGGAGGCCCCATCACTGACTGCAGGTGTTCCGCCCGCCCGTCCTGTGTCTTCGGCGGTCGTGATACATTTCCCCATGACCTTCGCCCAACACATATTGAATATTACATTTAATGTACCGCCCGCCCGATCTGGATGCCCCAGCACTGAGCGCATGGTTCCTCCAATGTTTCGCCCACCCGACTGGCGTTTCGGCGGTGGTGATCGATTTCCTTCGATTGTGTTCATCTCACACCTTGAAGGTTGCATATAATGTCCCGCCCGCCCA